GTGTAAAATTAATTTTAAATATTCGTGTAAATTATAAACTATGCGAAATCATAGAAATTTTAGATTTATATTAATATGTCAGACATAACAAACAAAAACAATATATGTTTTTCAATAATGAAATGTGTAAATATTTGTAAGTTTAGTTATATATGTATAATANACTATATCAAAATTAAAACATTTGTATAGTATGCTAATCTAAATACATATATAACAGTAAATCAATTTTTATGGTAAGTCTAAAATATGACCTTTAGTTGGGTTTAAAATGTTAAAACATTTATTAGTGGATTTATGTTAAATTTTAAAAACTAATAAGAAAATGTAGATAATTTCTACCATGGTACATACTATTAATTGAAATATTTTGAATGGTTAAATGAAACGATGTGTCCATTAAATTGCTCATTGATTCACATCACAATTTTTTCTTCTATTGTCACTTTAATTAATATATAGAAGATTCAAAACGGTTTATGTTTCGGATATATTGATTTTTCAAGATTAATATAGTATCCAAGAAACAAAGCAACATGAAAATTTGTTTTAAGAAACTGATTTATTTAATTTCAATTAAACTTTTGTTTATTTTCAATTAATTTTTTAATTTTGAATTCGTTTGTTGGGCTTGGATCGAAGGTTAGCTTTAATTTTTTGGGAGAGAACCAAATCCACAAATATAATTGGGTGCTGTCGACAAAAGAAAAGAGGTGAAACTAGTACTATGGCCCCTGCTATGCAGGGGCAAAATATTTGTAAAACACATTATAATTGTATTCTTAGAAAATTAAGTTTGCATGTATGTATATATTTTAAAGAATAATGTACATTCAGTTTATTTGTATTTTTTAAAAGCATAAAATCATTATATTCGTGAAAGACAAAAACAAATTTTTGATAATAAACACTTTAATTTTTTAGTGAAAAATTAAAAAATAGTATCAAATAATTTTAATTGTGAAAAACTGAGAATATGTTAAATAGTCACATTGGATGGAAATAATAGAGAAAAGGTAGTAAATAAAATTTAGGGATCGACGCATTCAATTAAATAAAATCTAGCTCAATTCTTTTTTTTTAATTAACTCTTTTTGTTTTTGTTTTCTTAAAAATTANATAAAACTTGACTATGAATATCTGAAACAAAGAAAGTGGAAGAAGTTGTGAATTTGTTGAATGTAAAATAATATAAATGCAAACAACGGTAGCAAAAAAAAATGCTTTAAAATATATTTAGTGCTATAAAAGTGGGAAGTTAAGAAGAAAGAGGATTATTTTNTTGTTGGAAGAGGATTAATCAGGAACCAAATTAAAAAAAAAAATTGTATTAGAAAAAAAAATTACAAATGTCGCTCACAGAATTGTCAACTGACTTCTGTTTTAGTAAAATAAGATATAGTAACTAAGACTTTTTGAAAGCATTAATGATTCCTTAAAACCCTCTTTGATTGACACCTAGGATTTTTCTTAGTTTCTTCTCTATTAATACGACTTGACGGCTAACCCTAGCCATCTTCTCCAAGTTTTGGAAGCTATCAAATCTTCCCGAATATCCATCTTACCATAATCTTTGCTAAGGATAAATGGAAATCTTCTTCTTCCGAAATCCTCTCCAAGCTAAGTATAGTTTCTGTCACTTAGCTTGTAGATTCATTCTCCAAGGCCTTAAGTCGTGAGCCCAAATCCATCTCTTCAAGCCCGATCCGTTTCTCCATTAATTGTCCGTCTGTAGCACTTCCTATAGTACTCTGCGCTGATACACGAACTGCTTTAGCTCAGCTG